GTGATGAGGTTGGCCTCGACACCCTGTCGCTGGGCTGACGGGTCCCAGTCGACAGCAGAACAGGAAGCGGGGAGGGCAGGATGGAGAGGGCAGGATGGAGGGGGCGAAAAGCAGGAGGAGGAAGGAAAGTTGTGAGGAACGCGAGGAGGAAGAGGAAGAGGCGAATGAGGAGGGGGGGGGAAGCAATCGAGGAAAGCAAAAGGAATGGCACTGGTCCCCCTTCTGTATTCCTTGCTCTCCACGACTCCTTACGAGGGCTCACTGATGAAATAGTGAGTGGAGCGCATCGCTGGGCCCCCTTGGGGAGCCTTGTGTAGCCTCTTGGGCACTCTTGAGAGTGTCTGCTCCCGACCTTCCCGAATGCCTCTCCCATCGCGGGGGTCGTCGTCCAATGTGGGCGGCACGAGCCGCGAGGCCATACTCTGGACGGGGTATTTCTCAAGAGGGGAGTAATTCACCTTCCGCCTGAGCCTGCCTTTTCCCGCCCCCCTCTATCCTTCGACCCCTCGTCATCCTCCTCCTCCTCTTCCTCCGACCCCCCCTTCACCCCTTCCAACAGCACGTGCCCAACCTCCCCCAATCGGATTCAAAGGGGGGGCGATACGGTGGGGGCATTGGATGAGGAACCCTTAGATAAGGAATCCAGGGTCTGGAGGCCGGTGGAACTTCAATCGAAGCTCGGGCATGGATATCACCACCGCCCTCATCAGATAAGCAACCCTCCAGGGTTTGCAGCCTCCTGGTCACATTCCTTAACCAACGCCCCCACCGTATCGTCCCATCCGGAGAGTTGGTAGCAGTGGGTGGAGCGCATCGCTGCCGAAAAATTGTAGCGCACGCCTTCGAGCTGCTCGCTGGGTCTGCAGAAGGCTCATGCCATCAGGAACCAGGAGCCCAAGAGGAGGAGGGAGAGGAGGAGGACGAGGAGGAGGAGGAGGAGGAGAATGAGAGTGAAGGGGCGAGAGGAGGAAGAGGAGGAGGAGGAGGAGGAGGCGGAGGAGGAGGGTGAAAGGGCGAGAGGAGGAGAAGGAGCAGGAAGAAGGCTCCCGCCTGCTCCTGTTCCCATCCTCCTCCTGCGGCGACGGCGTTGTTTACCAGGAGGAAGACGACGACGACGACGTTGACGACGACGACGACGACGACGACGGTGACGACGACGCCGTCGACGACGACGACAACGACGACAACGACGTAGACGATGATGTTGGCAACGTCGGCGACGGCCCGCGAGGACGATGACAAGGGCCTCGAGTAGGACGGCGACGACGATGGACGACGTTCAGCCTGCAGCTTCATCTCCTCAAGGATGGGCGGGGCCCGCTCCATCTCGCCGCTGCGTGCGCACACGTCGAACAGGGCGTTGAAGCTGGTGATCGAGCAGATGACCCTGGTCGCCACCGTCACGGGCGAGGGAGAAGGAGCGAGGCACAAACTGAAGCCGTTGAGGGAGGCGACCCCATAGGAGGGAGACGAAAAGGAGGGAGGACGAGGAAACGAGGAATGCGAGGAGGGAGGAGGAAGAAGTCTTCCTTCTCCTCCTCAGGGCGGGCGAGGAGGAAGGAAGACAAGGAAGAGGAGGACGAGGAGAAGGAGGACGGACGAGGAGGAGGGAGGAAGGAGGACGCGGAGGGAGAGAGGAGAGAAGGAGGGAGGACGATGAAGGAGGGAGGAAGAAATCTGCCTTCTCCTCCACCGGGCGGACGGGGGAACCGCAGCGGGGCTGGGGCAAGCATCTGGGGCGGATGGTGCTGACGCTCTTTGCCTCAAACCAGGCCTGTCCCTCTACAGGAGGAAGATTCAAACATTGTAAAACATCCGCAGACCCTGTCGGCGTGTATGAGGGGCTTGTCCGTTCAAGTCGTCATCTCCGTCATTCGTTGGTCGTCGTCTCTGTCGTCCCCTTTCCCTGCCTCACCCCTCTCCCGAGGTTCGTCGAAGGTCCCCCTTCCCCAGTGACCTCCTCATCGCGCCAGCCAAAGCGAAGTTGAGCAACGTCGTAATTGAGTCGAAAAGAAGCCCCTTCCCTTCGATCCCTCCCCCGCCGGGGGAGGGGGTCTGGGGGGGTCCCGGGAGGGGGGGGGGGTCAGATACGACGCCCACCCTGGGATTCCCGGGACCCAGAAAAAACTCCAAGACGGGCCAAGAGTGCCCCAAGAGGCCCCGAAAACAGTCTAAGAGAACCCCGAATCGCCGAACGATCTGTCCAAGACGCCTTGACGGCCTCCAGACGGCCCCTGAGGCCTGCAAAGCGCCCCAAGAGGCCTCCAGGAGCATTCCCACGAGAGCCCCAAGAGGCAAACTTCATGGATTTCTCATACGTTTTTGAAAGATTTTGGCGCTCTTGCCCCTTCGGCTTCCCGACGCGCCAAGACGGCCCCCAAGATCGCCCCGAGACCGCCAAAGAGGCCCCCAAGAGTTATATTCTCGATGGCCCGCTTGGTGTCTACGGGGCGAAAGCCGCCGCATATCCTCACACAAACATCCACGTTATTGTTTTGAC